ATTCCCCAGTCACAGGGGAGTGATATGGGAGACACCCAGCACAAAGGCCTTAAAGAATGAAATGCCATTTGCCTCTGCAACAGAATTATAAGTGCAGGAACCTGACCCTTGATGGTGCAATGGGCCTAATGCTGATCCAGACCCATCTGCAAAAATGCAAGGATTTGTCTCACAAAGGTTCCTGGGGGTAATAGCCCCCCAACAAGCTAAGAATGCCCTCCACATGCAGTGACAGACCTTGTGAAAAGTAGACTTCCCAACTTTTAGCATCATGGGAATACCAGATTTAGAGATGCCTTTGTCCCCCAGAAGCTGGGATTCAACATCCATGCCACAAAATTATTGACTATGAAGCAGGTCAGTAAAACTGGTCATTGAGACAGAAGATCTGGAAGAGCTAGAAGAGCCCACAGAGCATCCTCCAGTAGTCTCATCAGGTGGGAGTAACACATCATCATGGACAGCTATAAGGACCACCGGAATGCCCTTCATCTCAATGCTGCAAAGCAGACGTGGAAGGAGATGTACAGATCAGGGAGTATTGATCCCATGAAGCCATAAGAGCATCCACTGCTTCCAATAGAGGATCTCTGTACCTGGAGACAAACCCGCTCAGTGTAAATGACTTTAAAGGCCAGGAGGTCCAACACTGGCATCTCCCACCTTTGACACAGTTCCTGAACAGCTACAGGTGTTAGGACCATTCCCCTGTGTCATAGGTGTCAGCTGAAGAATTCTGTCTGCCAAAAATAACAGAAGTTCTGCCCATGATGGGATCTGCTCTATGAGAGATGGACAGATTAGATAGATAATTAATTTATTTTTAAATTTTATTTCTTCCCCCTCTGACTCCAGTCACCACACACCGGAGATTACCAGAGAAACTCAAAAAATTTGAATATCGTGCAAAAGTTCATTTATTTCAGTAATGCAACTTAATAGGTGAAACTAATATATGAGATAGACTCATTACATGCAAAGCAAGATAGTTCAAGTCGTGATGTGTCATAATTGTGAGGATTATGGCTTACAGCTCATGAAAACCCCAAATCCACAATCTCAGAAAATTAGAATATTGTGAAAAGGTGCAATATTCTAGGCTCAAAGTGTCCCATTCTAATCAGCTAATTAAGCCATAACACCTGCAAAGGGTTTCTGCGCCTTTAAATGGTCTCTCAGTCTGGTTCAGTAGGAATCACAATCATGGGAAAGACTACTGACAGGACAGTTGTGCAGAAAACCATCATTGACACCCTCCATAAGGAGGGAAAGCCTCAAAAAGGTAATTGCAAAAGAAGTTGGATGTTCCCAAAGTGGTGTATCAAAGCACATTAGTTATGTGGAAGGGAAAAGTGTGGAAGAAAAAAGGTGCACAAGCAGCAGGGATGACCGCAGCCTGGAGAGGATTGTCAGGAAAAGGCCATTAAAAGTGTTGGGGACTTTCACAAGGAGTGGACTGAGGCTGGAGTCAGTGTATCAAGAATCACCACACACAGACGGATCCTGGACATAGGCTTCAAATGTCGTATTCCTCTTGTCAAGGCGCTCCTGAACAACAAACAACGTCAGAAGCGTCTTACCTGGGCTAAAGAAAAACAGACCTGGTCTGTTGCCCAGTGGTCCAAAGCCCTCTTTTCTGATGAGAGCAACTTTTGCATCTCACTTGGAAACCAAGGACCTAGAGCAGTGATGGCGAACCTATGGCACGCGTGCCAGAGCTGGCACGCAGAGCCATCTCAGTGGGCACACCAGGAAGAAGAGGAAGATGAGCGCACACGGACCACACACACTGACCGGCCATTCAGATCTCGTCCACACTGGACCCCCATGAAACTACATCTCCCACATGTCTCTGGGGCCAGGATGGGCGTGGAGAGAGGAAGAGGCTCCCACACTGCTCCGGGGCCAGGGGTGATGTAGCCGGGGATGGGCGTGGAAGAGAGGAAGAGGCTCCCACACTGCACCGGGGCCAGGGGTGATGTAGCCAGGGATGGGCGTGGAAGAGAGGAAGAGGCTCCCACACTGCTCCGGGCCAGGGGCGATGTGTTCAACGTGGATGGGAATGAGCTGTTGGGTTGGAAGCCACACCGACACTGCCAGAGGTGAGATTAACTGCTTGCAGTGTCATCCATCAGTGCCCAGAAGTGTCACCCATCAGTGCCCAGCAGTGTCGCCTGTCAGTGCTGCCCAGCAGTGCCACCTGTCAGTGCTGCCCAGCAGTGTCGCCCGTCAGTGCTGCCCATCAGTGCCACCCATCAATGATGCCCAGCAGTGCCGCCGATCAGTGCCATCTGTCAGTGCCTCCAGTTTGTGCTATCAGTCAGTGCCGCTTATCAGTGCCCATCATTGCTGCATATCAGTGCATCACCAGTGCCTCCTCATCAATGTCCACCAGCGCCGCCTCATCAGTGCTACCTATCTGTGCCGCCTCATCAATGCCCATCAGTGCTGCCTATTAGTGCAGCCTCACCAACGCACATCAAAGAAGAAATATTACCTGTTTGCAAAATTTTATAATAGAAGCAAAGAAAACCTTTTATGTTTTTAATTTTTTGCTCTTTTTTCATTTATAGTGCAAAAAATAAAACACCCAGTGGTGACTAAATACCACCAAAAAAGCTCTATTTGTGTGAAAAAATGAGTGTTGCATGACCGCACAATTGTCATTGTCAAGTGCAACAGCACTGAAAGCCGAAAATTGGTCTGGGGAGGAAGGGGGTAGAAGTGCCTGGTAGGCAAGTGGTTAATTGCAGTGTTGGCACTTTGAAATAAAAAAGTTAGTTTTGTGTTGCAGTTTTGGGCACTCAGGCTCAAAAAGGTTCGCCATCACTGACCTAGAGTATGGAGGAAGAATGGAGAGGCACACACTGCAAGATGCTTGAAGTCCAGTGTGAAGTTTCCACAGTCTGTGGTTATTTTGGGGAGCATGTCATCTGCTGGTGTTGGTCCACTGTGCTTCATTAAGTCCAGGGTCAACGCAGCCGTCTACCAGGAGATTTTGCAGCACTTCCTGCTTCCTTCCGCAGACAAGCTTTATGGGGATGCGGACTTCATTTTCCAGCAGGACTTGGCACCTGACCACACTGCCAAAAGCACCAAAACCTGGTTCAATGACTGTTGGATTACTATGCTTGATTGGCCAGCAAACTCGCCTGACATGAACCCCATAGACAATCTATGGGGCATTGCCAAGAGAAAGATGAGAGACATGAGACCGAGCAATGCAGAAGAGCTGAAGGCCGCTATTGAAGCATCCTGGTCTTCCATAACACCTCAGCAGTGCCACAGGCTGATAGCTTCCATGCCACGCCGCATTGAGGCAGTAATTGCTGCAAAAGGGGCCCAAACCAAGTACTGAGTACATATGCATGTTTATACTTCTCAGAGGTCCGATATTGTGCTATGTACAATCCTTGTTTTATTGATTGCATGTAATATTCTAAATTTCCTGAGATTGTGGATTTGGGGTTGTCATGAACTGTAAGCCATAATCATCACAATTATAACAAATCATGGCTTGAACTATCTTGCTTTGCATGTAATGAGTTTCACCTTTTAAGTTGCATTACTGAAATAAATGAACTTTTGCACGATATTCTAAATTTTTCGAGTTACACACATACAAACTATACATTTTTTTTTTGTAATTTTCCAAAAATGAAAAACGTGTGGGAAAAAAAAAGAAATCTTCCCGGGACTCAACATGCCTCTCAGCAGATAGCTTAGGGTGTCTACTTTCCAAAAAGGGGTCATTTGGGGGTGTTTGTACTGTCCTGGTATTTTAGCACCTCAAGAAATGTGATGGGCAGTTAGAAAGTAAAAGCTGTGTAAATTCCATTATCTATACCATAGTTTGTAGATGCTATAACTTTCACACAAACCAATTAATATGCAGTTATTGGGATATTTTTTTACCAAAAGACATGTAGCAAAATACATTTTGGCCTAAATTGATGATGAAATTTGAGTTTTTTGGATTTTTTTATGACAGAAATGAGAAAATGTTTTTTTTTTTTAATTTTTGGTCTTTTTTTATTTATAGCGCAAAAACAAAAAACCCAGAGTTGATCAAATACCACCAAAAGAAAGCTCTCTTTGTGTGAAAAAAAAAAAGACATAAATTTCATTTCTGTACAGCTTTGCAATTGTCAGTTAAACTAGTGCAGCGCTGTATAGCAAAAAAATGTGTGTAAATTGCAGTATCTATACCATAGTTTGTAAACGCTATAACTTTCACACAATGCAATCAATATACACTTATTGGGATTTTTTTTTTACCAAAGACATGTAGCAGAATACATTTTGGCCTAAATTTATGACTAACTTTGTGTTTTTACTATATATTTTTTATAGCCGAAAGTAAAAAATATTGGGTTTTTTTCAAAATTTTCGGTCTTTTTTTGTTTATAGCACCAACAAAAGAGTGCTCCATTTGTATGAAAAAAAAAAAAAAAAAAAAAGATAAAATTTCATTTATGTAAAGCATTGCATGACCGCACAATTACCATTTGAAAAAGTGCAGCACAGAACAAAAAAAAAAAAAGGGCCTGGTCAGGAAGGGGGGTAAATTCTCAGGAAGGCAGGTGGTTAATTAAAGTGTTGCAGACTACCTCTGATGGAACATGCAAGAAGTATTGTGAGAACCATTTAACGCTTTTCAATGGAGGAGTTCAGCAATGGCTGACGCCATCTTTCCCTTTGGCACAAGTTTCCTTTAAGACTTAGAACATGATTTCTAAAAAGGCTTTGGTATATTGGCACCAAGTAGGTTTCTAATCATTCGAGGAATATAAACCCCTGCAGAGCAAGTATATAGCCCCAAAGAAGAGATGGACCTGCCCGTACTCAATGGACGCTTAGTACAAGCTAATAAAACAAGGAATAATTAATCTTGGATTAACTTTGCCTATGCATACAGGTAGGTGCAGCAAGTAAATCATGAAACCACAACTGCATTGTTTTTCTTTTCAAATAAGGCAACAAAAATCAAAAACACATACCTTTTCTTTCTCACGATTAATTAAGAAGAACAAATACTCAAAACTTCTTGGAATAACCCCCCTCAGGTTATGAGTAAAATTATCAGAGTCAGATGGCCCTAGGAGAGAATTAGCTCATTTAGATGGTCAATTACGAATGCATGGTTGTACGCCAAAAGCCACAGCTGACTGCAAACACCTGTGCATAGCCACCACAGAAAATGCTGACTCTTGGCTTGTGAATAAACCCTTCGGTACATTAAGGAGATTATTAAACAGAATTAACCTTAGAGGAAACTCATTTTCATACTGTTCAACAAATGTAAACATGGCAATTAAAAAGGTGCATAAAATTGTGGGGCTTTTATCGGCATGACGTTCACATAAGAAGATTAGATATGTAAAACTAGGCAAACAGGTTAGAATAATGCACCCATTCAGAATTGGTAATACAGGGGTGTAGACATTTTTTAAAAAAACTACTTGTCCAGGGACTTAATTGGGGTCCAATCTACTTGTCCCTCATGACAATCTACTCGTTCAGATAAATAAAAAAAAAAAATTTTTTAACCAAAACCACACTTTTAAAATCATAAAAGGGCCTTGATGGTGACAAACATTTAATATTTTTAACACTGCGCTGTCTATCTCCTCCTCCCCTCCTTGACTGTCTCCAGTACAGCACCCAGGGACTAGCAGGGAGGGGAGAGACCTTGCATGAGATTACCGCAAAATTTCAGTAAGAAAAAAACCCCCCACAAATTTTAGGCCAAAAAAAAAAAAAAAAGCAATAAATTACCCTATTCTTTTTGTAAAATATAAAAGCTGTGGTTGCACCAAGTAAATAGGTATCCAACAGTTCAAACCTTAACCGCTTGCCCGCCGCCCCATAATAGAAGTACTGCTACAGGGCCAGGGCTGCGCAAAATCACATATGTAAATGTGGTTTGCATTACTGAGTAGGGGGGAGCACAAGAGCCTCCCTACCCTCGCCACTACTGGCGGATAGAGATGTCAATCACCGGGTCCTGGCCGGTGATTCCCTGCCAGCACTCAGTAATCGTCAGGGAAAGCTGACAGGAGAGAGACCTGTGTGTACACACAGGTCTCTCTCCTGTGAGCAAGGACATGCTGCTTTGTATTTCTCTGCACAGCATAGCACATAATATGAAAACATATTATGTGCTATGAAAAAATACATAGCACATAATATGAAAACACACAGCACAGATATCCCTTTGATCCCCCCAGATATTAACCCCTTCCTGCCCAGTGTTCATTGTATTAAGTGCCAGTTAGTTCCCACCGAGTGTCAGAATGCCCGCCGCAGTCTCCCTATAAGTCACTGATCGCCGCCATTACTAGTAAAAATTAAATAAAAATAAAAATCCCAGTATATACACCGCTATTTGTAGCACAATACATTTTGGCCTAAATTGATGACAAAGTAAGATTTTAATTTTTTTTTCGATATGTTTTATAGCAAAAAGTCAAAAATATGGTTTTGGGTTTCTTTCCAAAATTGGCCTTTTTTGTTTATAGCGCAAAAAATAAATAAAGCAGAGGTGATCAAATACCCCCAAAAGACAGCTCTATGTACAGCATTGCATGACCACGCAACTGTCAGTTAGGAGGTAAATCCACTGGAGGGCCAGTGGTTAAATTTGCGTGCGCTCGTAAAATGGCGACAAACTTCAGTACCCTATATTTCCTATAGGCGACACTTCTAAAGACCCTTATAGGTTATAAGTATAGTGTTACGGAGGATGTCTCATGCTAGAATTATTGTTCTCATGCTAGTGTGCGTGGCCATATGTAACGTGTATCGCAAACCAACGTTTTCATGCGTAGGCGCCCCAGCATGTGCTTTTACATTTGTACGTGCGTATATGTGGGGGTGGCCTCAATTTCTTTTATTTTTTTTGAAGGGAATGTTATGTGCTTGGGTGTAACTTTTTCTTTTTCCATTACATAGGGGACAAAGTCTCCTATGCATTACATAGGCCGGGAGATCTGTCACCCGGAAATACATGTCCTGTGTGTCGGGCAATGTAAATTCAACATCCCTGTAATAGTATCAGACCACAGAGGCTAGATGCAAGATTCCTCAATGCACCAACATGGTCATCTGGCTGTGCAGTGTAAGAGAGCTTTAAGGCTTCTCCCACGTGGAGAGAGTGTATTAGGAAATTAAGTTATTTTAGAAGAAAACTATAATAAATATAATTCACTATATAAAACATGCAATAGCAATGTGGATACTTTTATTAAATAATATTATTTAAAGTAAAACTAAAAAGGGAAAACTTTTTTTTTTGTGTTTTGGATAGAGTAGAGATGGATTAGCACACCTGTCAGTTTTTATTGCTGCCCATGCCCGTTAGGAAGATTCACACATACACACTTATTTTTGCCTTAAATTTGTTACACTTTACTGGACATCAACCAATCCAAATGCCTTTAGAATTTATAATAAATTAAAAAAAATATATGGGGGGAAAAAAAATTGCATTCTGTCAAACATTCAATTTTAACTATAGACCTAGATTTTAGGAAAATTCATGCTTAAACCAGCTGCCAGCCACATGTAGGGTGGAACTGCCAAAAGGGCCCCATAAGCCCCACTCCAAATTAGTTTTTTTTTTTAGGCCTCAAATTTTAGGTTTGGTTCATCAGTTAGCAATATGTTTTAGGGCTTATACAGACAAGTGCTGAATATGTGCTTAAAGTGTTTTAATAAACCCACAACAGTAAAATATGTCTGTATATGGAGTAAAGCATGCTTGCTATACTCACTGAGGAACCTAAGGAGTTAATCCTCTGCATTGGGTAAAAAGGCTGTTTGACCCTGTCTTCTCTGATCCGCCCCTTCTTTTACTGCTCCCAATCCATCTGCCCTAGTACAGAGCAGCAGTGGCAAGTCTGTACATGGTCTGTTTTGTGTGTGTTGCTAGAGTTTTTTTTTTTTTTTTTGTTTTTTTTTTGGTGGGGGGGGGGGGGGTTGGAGGGCTCTTGTGATCGACACAGGGCCAATCAGCCCTGTCCGGACAGAGGGTCAGGGGTCATGGAGCCTCATAAGACAGTCAGAGGGAAATGAAAACTCCTCCTACATGGTTAACCAGTGCTCGGCCAGACACTGACAGAAATCACAAGACTGCTCTTTAGAAAAAGGTATTTAGCAGTTTATATTTACTAAAATAATTGAATTTCCATGTTCTGCGTACTGTGGAAGGCCATATATAGTGAATAAATGTTTAGTAACACTTTAATGTGAGAAAATATATCAAAATGGTATGGATGAGGCGTTTAGATCAAGTGGAGCAGAACTGCAATTATCTACCATATACTTAAGCACAGTTCACGAGTGCAGTTTACGTGGTTCTAAAAAGGTAGAAGTTATTTCTACCTTAATGCATTCTCTGCAGTAAAGAAAAACCAGTTTGGAGCTACTCCTCCCACCCCTTCTGTTTACCTGAGCCTGATCCCAATTCAGCGCTGCACTCAAGAACAGCGTCTCTCTCTGCTAAATCTCCCCCCTTACTAGAGACCGAGGAAGCAGTGGGAGACATTGGCTCCTGCTGCAGTCAATCACAACCAGTGAGGAGAACGCAAGGGATGGGACCCGAGTTGCGCTCAGTGAATAGTCTGCCCTTGTGTGTCAATGGACAATTCCTTTAAAATCACTTTAAGCAGACTTACTATTCTGTATAGCACTTAGCTGGTGTATATAAGCTTAAAAAAATTTTTAGTAAGAATTTTCTCTCACTTTTTCAATGCTTTTATATCTTAATAAAGTTTGACGAGGCAGGAAAGGTGTATGGAAAAACCATACAAAAAAAAAAATAAACCCCACACACAGGAAGGAAGGAAGGGAGGGGGGAAAAAAAAAAAAAAAAAAAAAAAGAAAATCCCCCTGTAACGAGCTGACATTTTGAATCCAATTGTAAGTGCAAGCACCAAAAAAACCAAACAGAGTAAACGGTTTGAATTGCTCGGGCTTACTTCTTTGACCATAGACTTGTATATGCTTACCAAGCATTGTAAAGGTCTTTCCCGAACCTGTCTGCCCACTGCAAAAAAATACAAAAAAGAGTTTTTGTTAGTGTTACATATAAAAATTCACAAACTTTACAACTAAGGAACTTTTCACACAAAAATGGTAAATATTCTGCCTTTAAAAGACACACATGGGTGCCAATGAATTGTTATCTCGCATGCTTGTGGCCCCCATGCAACTGGGTGCAAAGTTGTGCTTGCGCTACTTTTTGGTGTTCCTTTCGCAAATGTCAAAACTGCACAGGAACACATTCTGGTATGAACCAACCCCAAAAGAGCATTGCCTTGCAGCTTGAAATTTGGATGGCAAAAAAAAAAAAAAAATATATAAACAAACAAACAAACAAACAATCACAAAAAATTAAACTTCCCTTATGTTTTTAGAAAGTAAGTTTCAATGGGAGGATGCGTTTCAGAGGCATTTTCACTTTTATCTATTTAGGGGAAGGGACAGGTTGTCTTGTGGTAACTGATACCATCTCACAATACGAAGTTGTACATTATTGTAAAACTACCAGCTCAACTGAAACAGTGAAAAGCACTGGCATTTCTAAGCATCAAGAGAGGCAAAGATCTGTTTTCCTGGTTCAAAGAGAGATCAAAAGGAGGAAGCGTGATCATGTGTCTAATACATATAGTGCCTCTGTCAGGAAACTAAACAGTATCAGTATGATGAGCGGAATCTTTCAATTACTAGTATGTTTCTTACTCCTATAGTAATGAATAGAATTACAACACTGTCATTCAAAGCAGGATTCCAAAATAGAAATGCTATCTTGCCCTTATTGCTGTGTACATCCTAAAAGCGTATACACTTTTTAGAAACCCTGCTCTAAGTGTTCGATAACTCAATGCAACGCTCCAGAGTCCTGACCATCCTTCCACAGAGTTCTGCTTTCTTATTTATTTTGTTAATATAAATATCCAAAGACAAAGGGCAAACTCATTTCAATCATGACTGATTTCTGCATTCAACATCTGTATTTCAATGTAAAGGCAAAAAGAATATCTCAGTTAGAATATATTTTTAGGCACAGCTCCATCCAGTAGTAAAGACTAAGAAAAGAGGACTCCTTCTTACCCTAGCAGTGCTGCTTTTTAGCTGCAATACTTATATCACTGGCCTGAGCAAATTCAGATTCCTATAAAGAATCCACTAGATGGAAGGTGATGCAGCATATACAAGGTGCCAATTTGATTCCCGGAATGGACCGGTAATAACCCTAACAAACACCTCTGTAGTCTTTAAAAAAAAAAAAAAAAAAAAAAGATGAAATTTGAAGACAAAGTTCTTTCTGATCTTCGGTCAAGATTCGAAGCACCATCTTTGCAGAAACCTCTCTCACTCCCAAATCCACCTTTAGAATCTGCCACACTGTTTTCATTTTCAAGTTCCTTCTTCTGCCATCATTTTCACACTCAGTCTTTGATAAGAGCATACAAGGGCATGTGCACTCTTTCCAAATTTGCATGCGCCCTTTGCGTTTTTTGCTTCCCAGTTCTTGTCTTTGAAGATATCTTCTCGCTCCTCAAACCGCTTATGCCATTCAAAAATACTTGCTTTCTTCATGGAATGTTAATCATAAGCCTGTAGTAATGAAGCTAAACTTTCACTTGCACCAATTTTAAGCGCAAAGTTTGATGTTAATCCACTGCTCCAGATTCCGGTCATTAATATTCCACCAGCAGCGCAATGCACACCAGTTATTTCTTCTGCTACTCCGTAAAGAGTCAACTGAGACCCAGTCGGGCGGCAAGTTAGAATATGTCAGAACACACTCGAATCTGAATGGCTGTGTGAGTCCCCAACACAGTGCTACACTATGAGCATTCCAGTAATTAAATTGTCACACATCGTAAGCCTGTATAGTGAAAGCAGTAAACATCCTGCAAGAGTTTAAAAAGCATGATCATCTGCAGCCAAGATTATTATTTGTAAACCCATATTGTTAAAAGCAAAGTTCACCTTTGGGAACATGTTCCACCCGTTTTTAGGCTGGAACATGTAATATGTTCCCAGTGCTGCAGCCACCATCTGCTGTCCCCCCTCCCTGTGACAGAAATACAGGGATAAGTTCTCCATACTGTCTGTCAGATTTGCAAACAGTGCAGCTGTGTGGGGCTCCACCAACATCATTCATTCGCAAGCTTACATGAATGAATGAACTGCAAGTTGTAGTTTTCAATGAAGTACCACAGCACTATAAAGCACTGTGATAGTTCACTGACTATTCCTGTCAGTATATCAGCTTGCTTGTACATCCTGTGTGGGCAAGCAGATATACCGACAGATCTGCAGGAGACCTGCATGGCACCAGTGATCTACTGATCGCTGGTGCAATGCTTTACAGGCTCCTGCAGACAAAAATAATAAATGCAGATTTTTTTTAATCTGCAAAAAAAATGTGCATTTATTATTTTTGTGCAAAAGGTGAACTTATCCTTTAAACATACTGGTCAACATACTCCATGTCATCTTTTCATAGTTATAAGCATTTAATAAATCCAGGCATGTTTTTAAATCAAATTATGAATGAGGAAATGTCAAAACCTTGTGAGGGTTTGATGGCAGTTTTTTTTCTGTTGAGAAGACATCTCCGTTCTCTGCTCTGTCTTCAAGAAAAGAAGTTACGTGGAGCAGGAACATTCCCTTATAGAGACACAGCAACACCCTTCCAACTTTATTCAAAGATTAAAAAATTGAATTAAAATTTAAAAAGTTTGACATAATCAGCTGTATACTTACTAGGCAAAAATTGTGCCGTTGTAACCATTCATACAGGATTCAATAATATTTTTTGCCACACATGAAAAAACTGACTCCTGTAATTATAAAAAGGGGAAAAAAAAAAAAAAGTTTTAACAAAAACAGGTCATGTACTGCAACAAGAGTTGAGTGCTACTTTACAATTTTCTAACTCCACCCAAAAATAGAATTTTTTTATTCTCATCATAAAATGCTTTTGACTCCATTAAAAGGACAAGTTCACTTTTTTTTTTCCCCCCTTCTAAATTCCAGCTCCCCCATGTACCAATATAGTATTAATGTAATGCTGGGAAACTGATCAGAACCTGCCAATGATGGAGCACCATCCCCATGACAGTTCTGATATTTTTATAACTTTCACATATCAAGGTGTAATTGAAGTTAAGTGCATGGGCTGATCAGATCAGATCCGGTCCGTCTGTCAGATTGGAAGGTCCATGCATTCCTATGGACTGGCGGGTGTAAGAGGACTTGTGTCCTAACTACCTCTGGGTCCGATTCCCCCTCCGCGTAGAAAAAAAATAAAAAAATTACAAATGGACTGCGTCCGCCTCCATTTGGGTGAGTCAATTTTGTGGCCCATAGAGCATAGCGGGCTCTGTCCTGGTCTGCTCTGCATAAACTGAGCAGACATGGGCTGGTCATCCACCTGCTCTGCTCCGATCAGCAGACCTGCTGTCCATAGATGTGCAAGGGACCTAAAAGAAAGACAAGTTAACATGTTAACATTTAGGAAGCACACAAACCTGAGTTGCATCCATATTTGCCACATAATCAAATGTAAAGACTTTTGGCTCCGGTTTGGAATGCAAGCGAATCATTTTGGGAGACAGTACAGAGAGGCATAGCCCCTGGTCACTATCACCGCCCAGGCTTCCTTCAACAGGTGGCCGAATTCTTACAAATACTTTTATGGAATCACCATCAGGGCTGCAAAGATTAAAGAAAGGAAAAGAATCTCACATCATTCAAGAGTAAAATATATATTATCAAAACTTGAACAGAATCACAAAGAATTTTCTTTACCTTGATGAGCAGGTGGGAATATCAACTAGATCACCTGTAAAACAAACAATTCTCACAATTAAAGACCAATAAATTGAGCCAAGTCAATAAAGTAAGTATGAAACCTTTCTAAAAAGGGTTCTTAAATGAACTCCATAAAGGAGTGCCCGTCGCTCCCTCCGTCCCCTCCGTCAAGGAGTGCCCGTCGCTCCCTCCGTCAAGGAGTGCCCGTCGCTCCCTCCGTCCCCCCCCGTAAAGGAGCGCCCGTCGCTCCCTCCTTCCCCCCCCCCCCCCCCGTGAAGGAGCGCCCGTCGCTCCCTCCGTAAAGGAGCGGCCCTCGCTCCCGCCGTCCCCTCCGTAAAGGAGCGCCCGTCGCTCCCTCCGTCCCCTCCGTAAAGGAGCGCCCGTCGCTCCCTCCGTCCCCTCCGTAAAGGAGCGCCCGTCGCTCCCTCCGTCCCCTCCGTAAAGGAGCGCCCGTCTCCCTCCTCCCCTCCGTAAAGGAGCGCCCGTCGCTCCCTCCGTCCCCTCCGTAAAGGAGCGCCCGTCGCTCCCTCCGTCCCCTCCGTAAAGGAGCGCCCACCGTCCCCTCCGTAAAGGAGCGCCCGTCGCTCCCCTCCGTAAAGGAGCGCCGGCCGCTCCCCCTCCGTAAAGGAGCGCCCTCGCCGTCCCCTCCGTAAAGGAGCGCCCGTCGCTCCCCGCCTCCCCTCCGTAAAGGAGCGCCCGTCGCTCCCGCCGTCCCCTCCGTAAAGGAGCGCCCGTCGCTCCCGCCGTCCCCTCCGTAAAGGAGCGCCCGTCGCTCCCGCCGTCCCCTCCGTAAAGGAGCGCCCGTCGCTCCCGCCGTCCCCTCCGTAAAGGAGCGCCCGTCGCTCCCGCCGTCCCCTCCGTAAAGGAGCGCCCGTCGCTCCCGCCGTCCCCTCCGTAAAGGAGCGCCCGTCGCTCCCGCCGTCCCCTCCGTAAAGGAGCGCCCGTCGCTCCCGCCGTCCCCTCCGTAAAGGAGCGCCCGTCGCTCCCGCCGTCCCCACCGTAAAGGAGCGCCCGTCGCTCCCGCCGTCCCCACCGTAAAGGAGCGCCCGTCGCTCCCGCCGTCCCCACCGGAGCGCGCTCCCGTCGCTCCCTCCGTCCCCTCCGTAAAGGAGCGCCCGTCGCTCCCTCCGTCCCCTCCGTAAAGGAGTACCCGTCGCTCCCTCCGTCCCCTCCGTAAAGGAGTACCCGTCGCCCTCCGTCCCCTCCATAAAGGAGTACCCGTCGCTCCCTCCGTCCCCTCCATAAAGGAGTACCCGTCGCTCCGTCGCTCCCCCCTCCATAAAGGAGTACCCGTCGCTCCCTCCGTCCCCTCCATAAAGGAGTACCCGTCGCTCCCTCCGTCCCCTCCATAAAGGAGTACCCGTCGCTCCCTCCGTCCCCTCCATAAAGGAGTACCCGTCGCTCCTACGTCCCCTCCATAAAGGAGTACCCGTCGCTCCCTCCGTCCCCTCCATAAAGGAGTACCCGTCGCTCCCTACGTCCCCTCCATAAAGGAGTACCCGTCTCTCCCTACGTCCCCTCCATAAAGGAGTACCCGTCGCTCCCTACGTCCCCTCCATAAAGGAGTACCCGTCGCTCCCTACGTCTTATCCTACAGTAAAAATCCATGTAACTGCAAAGGAAGAGAATACGTGAATTAGTGATGGAACACAGCCCCGTCCTGTGTCCTTCCCCACCCTGGGGAGATGAGATTGGGGGGGGGGGGTGTATGTATGTATGTGTATATATATATATATATATCCCATTCATCAGGACTCGTTATGTGGTACTGAGATGTATAGAAAACAGACCCATATGGATGAGGCTGACTACTACTATATATATATATATATATATATATATATATATATATATAAAATGACCGGGACACAGGAGAGCAGCCCTCACACACTACAGACTTACTCTTTGTCCCCGGCGCCATCCTCCTCCCCGGTCTCTCCCGCTGCGTCGCGGTATCTCTCGGTCACTTTCACAACAAAAATGGCGGATCCTTCAAATTTGGCGCTTTCACACGGAGCCTGTCACAGCGCCACATAAGATTTCAAGCTGTCCGAGTCATGTGACCGGCCTGGAGGAGGGGGCGGAGTTAGGGGCCTGCTTGCTGCTGCCAATGGAGGGTGAGCGTCGCTGGTAACTGTTGTGTATGGAGGTGAGTGAGGGGGAGGCCAGGGGGGTTGTTGTACACGAGCGGGGGGATGCCGTAGAACTACAGGGCCCGGTGTGAGCTGTGCATGCTGGGAGTTCCGCACGACCTGGACAGCAGAGCCCTGTAATGTATGTGTGCTCTTCATATTTCCCCGGATGCTCTGTGCCCCTTCTGTCTGCATAGGTTTTTTTGCTTTGTTTTCTTTGTGACTTCCTTTATTGATGTCCGCATACATGTCCTTCTACATTGCTCACCCAGGTATGAGTGAGGTAGCCCCCCAGCCTACTAGAAGACCCTTGTCACACATCCCAGGAGGCCCCAGGGCCATCAAAAAGGCATGTGCCATGGCATTTCCTCAGGAGCTGGCTGCCTCTCTCTTCCTGGTTCTCACAGCTGGCTCCTTGTGTGTCCTCTGTAGAAATGAGCAGGGGCGTCCTCTGAACTTGCCTGTACCCCAACTTCAAAGTCATGCCTTTTTATTGGTCCAGTCAGCTGCGAACTGGGTCATTCACCACCCTGTAGCACATGCAAATGTCGGGGTGCGATTAGGGGTGCCACCTCATCCCTTTAAAACCGAACACATTAATTACAGGTTCGGAGGATAATGTAATGCAGATAAGGCACCAAGCGAGTTTAATGACCACCTTAACCACTTCACATCCAGACTCTTTCACCCCTTTCCTGTCCAGGCCAATTTTCAGCTTTCAGTGCTATCACACTTTGAATGACAATTGCGCTGTCATGCAACACTGTACCTATATTAATTTTTTAGCATTTTTTTGAGACAGATAAAACTTTATCTTGGTTGTATTTATTCCCCACTGGGATTTTTATTTTTTTTTACTATGTAAATGAAAAAGTCCAAAAATTAAAAAAAAAAAGTGTTTTTCTTATAATATTTTTCAAATAAATAGTATTTCATCATAAATCTTGGCCAAAATTTATTCTGTATATCTTTTAAGTAAAAAAAATAAATAACCCAAATTAGTTTATAACCAAAAATAAAATTTTTAAACATTTTGTTTTTACATTTTTATTTTATTTTTTTATATTATTATTATTATTTTTTTATTTTTTACATACTGTCACCCTAGCAGTACAGTGTCACCATGGTGACACTGAACTACTTGTGGGGGGGGTGATGATTTTTTTTTTGCATTGATAGCGTTTACACCCATAAAGGCTGCAACAGCAATCATTTCCTCCTTCTCTCTGGCTGCATTCTTGCAACCATTGAGAACTACTGTGTGAGCTGTGATTGGTCACAGCTTGTCACATGGTACAAGGCTGTTGTGAATGTGATCATTCACAGATTTCACATGTAGTAAGCAATGATGTTAAAAGTGACATCTTGCTTACTACTCTGCATGTGATCACTGATTGGCCAATCAGTGATCACATGATTGGGACCTCGCACAGAGGTCCTGTATGACGATCGGTGTTCCACTGTGTCCAGAGGACACAGCGGGCACCGGATCGCAGTGCTGCGCGCTCCCAGGGAGTGCGCACAAGCAGGGGGCGGGGAGGCCATTTATAAATGGCCACCCGACCCTGCACTGCCTCCGTCTGACTGTTTATATACAACAGCCGGACGGGAGGTAATCTGCCACAGAACCTGTGTAATTAATGTGTTCAGTTTTAAAGGGATGAGGTGGCAACCCTAACTTACCCCTACGTTTGCATGTGCTACGGGGCACTGAATGACCCGGTTCACAGCTGACTGGACCAATAAAAGGGCATGACTTTGAAGTTGGGGTACAGGCAAGTTCAGAGGACGCAAAAAAACTGAAAAAGAATTCACAAAGAGAAATCGGTTACATTATTGACAGAAAACGATACCCAGGAAGTCATCAAAAAGTATGCTTTATTGCAGACTTTGCACATGTATAGATACTTAGATAAAGACCACAGTTAGCCATCACCACAAGATGAGACCGTACCAAAGGAAACAACCTAAAACAAAAATAATAAAAGGACGTCATGACCGCCTATGTATGTAGTTATGCTGTAAAGACAACGACACTAGGTCTTATGTATAAACAGCACAGGCACATGGGAAAACACCACCATGTTGGGGATGTAGACGATAAATATTGATATATAAGGCTGTGCATCAATAATGTAAAAACATTACACTTGTACCAATGAGATATATGGACTGGGGAGCCCAACTAGACAGTGCTAGAGATCTGGTAAAAATTCAACTCTGGGCATGAATCAAACAAATATGTACACAGCACATAAATATGAACTAAACTGCTAGTATGTGCGCCAATAGAAGATATAGAGACTCGTAATGTCATTGCTCAACGACGCAATCATCAGGTAAATGTAATGTGCCTTTTTGAAGGGCTTCCAGATTGAACATGACTGATATAGCTGAAGATAGTGCTCGAAATATGACATTTGGGTGATCATGGAACTTAGACGAAACTTGGTATTAATAATGACTTCTCCATGAGACATCCGCCATCTGAAGTTGGAGTGGCAGGGCCCTGCCAATGATGATATAAATGTAATTCACCGCTGGTATGCGGCCTGAATGCCTCCCTTAATATATAGCTGACATGAAAACAATATGAATATCCACACAGGATAGTGGGGGTAGGGTGCTGCGCACCATCTATGAAGTATGACATTGTGTCCCTATCCTGTGATAAAGAAGTTCAGAGGATGCCCCTGCTCATTTCTACTGAGGACACACAAGGGACCAGCTGTAAGGACCAGGAAGAGGCAGTGAGCTCCTGAGGAAATGCCATGGCACTT